GTAGGAGGTAAAATGGAGAATACAACTTATAAGCTTTTACTTATTTAAAAGGAAAAATGTGTTCACAGTCAAAAGTTGTTGAGTGATAAAGTAAAATCTTTATTTTTAATTTTAAAATGTAACTTACAATAGAATTGTTATATACATAAAAAAATTCCAACAAATACACATTTGAAAAACAATCTTACAGTACTTCTGTATATTGGGTCTCCCAAGTAAGTCTCTGGTAAAGGTGAGTGCTATAATAGATCCCGTTCCATAAATAACATAAATATTAGACACAAATATTAACAACTGTTAAGTAGTGGAATAAGATTTTTGATTTATGTTGGTTTGTCTTTTTTCTAAGGGTTAGCACACCCCCTTCAGCTCCAGATAAATGGAAAATGTTTGTTTTTTGACCACTTAAAGCAGTTTTACACTAAAGTCCCATTGACCAAGAATACCTTGACATTTTTAAAGATAAACTGGAGTCAACTTCTGACTTCTGTCTGGTTGATGACTGCTTTTCTTATCAGAGCCACTTTTGTGTTTCTGCCATAAAAGACCATCAGATTACACAAAACTAAATACCACAAAAAAATGACAATATTTCATAGATGGTTGGATTTATTAAGAGTTTTAAACTGATTAGTTCGTAAGCACGAAGTTAGGTATTTTTTGTATTTTCAATACACTGTTTTGTTATCATTGGTTTCAACAAGCTTCTCATAAATAAATGTTTGTAGGACAAAAACTATTTGTTCAAACGGACAAAGGTTAAAAAAAACTGTAACAAATAAAAGAACCAATGATGAAATAAATTAATTCAGCACCAGGGGCAGCTCCTGAGTAAACATATTTGTGTGTGTGTTTGTGGGGGGGGGGGGGGGGGTGTATGTTGGTTAATATTTAATTATTTATTTGTTGTGTTTTTTGGGTGCACAAATTGTCTTTTTTTCTCCCTCTCCCAGGTTGAGTCTTGTGAAAAATAATCTGGTCTAATAAATCAGAGAAATGGATGCCTCCCCACACCAACATCCACCTCCACCTGAAACGGGAGTTTGTTCAATTTTACCTGTGTAAAAATAAAACAGACAGGTGTTCTGCTTTCTGGGCTGGATTTCTAATTTGATTGGACGTAATAATTATGAAATACTCCTCCAGATTAACACAGTTAAATGGGAGATAAAAAAGTTCAGTGAAGTAACTAAAATAAATATAAAAGTGAACAAATAATGACGCATCACAGATTCAAATTAATGATTCAAGAAAGGATTGAACCCATAGACATTGGAATACAAGACCGATTAACTATTGACCTATCACAGCCACACACTCACAACCACTACGGAACTGGTTACATGAGATCTGACCATGTTGGTGAAAATGTCCCAGTTTTGTCTCTGTCCTCTTCAGTTTTCTGTTTGGGTCCCCTCTGTCTGCTCCAAATGGATTTAAACAGAGTATCTCCACTGTTGGTCTCAGCAGGTTTCACTGCAGCTCTGAGCTTAGATCTAGCATTAGGTGCATATGTGGGTTTTCTCTGCGTACTCCGGTTTCCTCCCACAGATCAAAAACATGCATGTTAGTCTGATTGGTAACTCTTAATTGTCCCTAGGTGTGAGTGAGAGAGTGAATGGTTGTCTCGTTTGTCTCTATGTGTCCCTGTGATGGACTGGAGACCTGCAGGGTGTACCCCGCCTCTATCACACCGACTGCTGGATATGGGCACCAATGACACCCACCCCACCCCACCCCACCCCCACCCCCGGTGACCCAAAAAGAAAGAACGGGGTAAAGATAATGGATGAATGTTTATTAATTGCTTTGTTCGTTTATAACCTTTTTTTATGTTTTATGAAAAGGCAATTTTTCATCACAATTGTCTCGTTACGAAAATTTACCATATTTTCCACACTATACCTCGCCCCGGTGTATAGGTTGCATCAGTCAAAAAATGCCTCATAAAGAGGAAAAGACATAGACTCTTCAGAGTATAAGTCTCATTTCTTATACGTCACTGCTGACCCCCGGGAAATGTGGGCCAGTGTTGTGTCAAAAACCGATAGGCGTCCGCAGAGTGTGCACGGGAGGACTCGCTGTTGCAGTTCTTCCAAATTTAACAAGATTAACACCTAAAAACAATTATTTGTTTGCTCGACTTTATAGCAAAGGCGTGTCTAAGTTTAACTTTTCCTTAATAAATGCATATTAATGGTCAAAACAGCTTAATTTCGCCTGGGTGTCGCGTCGCGGTTGCATCGCACTAAGAACAGAACGTCTCGGTCGCCAGCTGTGCCGGGGGCGAGGAGGCCCCATCCCTCCGTCACCACAGTGGGGAAGAAGGGAGCAGCAAGGCACGTGGTCTGCGACCCCGGGAAGTGGCGAGGTGTAGGCGGGGCGACGCTATAGAGCCATCTTTGTTCTTGGACTCTTCCAGACCGACCCCGAGCCGGTCGTTGTGCACCACCGCGGAGGTAATGCGCCTGGTGGGAGCCAGCCAGACATGTCAGTATGAATGAACATTTAACGCGTCAGTCAAAAATTGCATCATGAATAGGGGAGGAAAATAAAACGTATTTAAGTCGCTTCGGACTATATGTTGCACGACTGGCCAAACTATGAAAAGAACAGCGACTTATAGTCTGGAAAATACAGTAAGTGAACTAATTGTCTTCTCTTTGACTGGTGTTGCAGGAGCTTCTGCATCCATGCTGCCTGTCTCAAAATATTGTACAGGGACTGAAAACAGCTGAACACTTTAAGAATAAATTATGTCAAACAAAGAGCTATGACCCAACTAGTCCCCACATTTTTGATTTAATCTGTTCCTGAAGAATAACTCAAACCTGGAGGCAGCTGTCAAAGTGGGTACAAAGTGAAACGAGGCGAGCACGATGTGAGCAGAGATGGGAAACTAAATAATGTGCATGGTCTAGATCAGGGGTGTCAAACTCACTTACAAAAGGGGCCAAAATTAAAACCTTTTTCAAACTAAGAGCCAATTTCAGAAACAACATTAACTCAAATCAGATACCCGACATCTTTTGTTGGTCACAGGTTCCTCAACAAGTGTTTGATTGGTCTCACTGATGTTCTCTGTTGTGCTTTCAACATCATAATCAAAGATTACTGAAAAAAATCAAGAGAAAGAAGTATTTTACGTTTCACATATCATCTTGGTGGCCAGATTGTCAATGAGGGCCACATTTGGCCCCCGGGCCTTGAGTTTGACGCATAACGTCTGGATAGAATACATTCAGAATTCACCTGTTCACATCACTATTTTGAGTTGCCAATCAGTTTCCAATAATCAGAACCCAGTAAGAAATTAGGTTTAGTTTGTCAACAGTGACACTAACATGTCATGTCACGTTAATTTTAGTTTGTATGATCCTTAATATCATCATTTAAAGAACCAGATCATTTTTATTTTGCTTTGGTTTTGTTAAAACTGCAAATAAAAGAGGTATTCTTACTTGGTAAATGTACATACAGTCTTTGTGTATGTCATGGTAGAACGTTTACCACAAAATGTACATACTCTGTATTTTATTCCACTTTTGGTGTCAAAAACCTATTTTCTGTCAGGCTCTTGCATTCACATTCTTATAAAACTCATTTAGTTTCAGAATAGCATGATCCTGAACATTTGAGAAGAAATACTTTTATGCAGTGCTTTTTGACCCAGCCAAGGGTGAAAAGGATATAGAAAAGTAAAAGAAGCCTGTGGTGGTACGTGTATAATTCCCCACATAAAAATGTTACTAGGAGGAGCTTCTTCCATCAGTGAAATACTGTTAAAATGAGGAATGTCCTGTCTGAGTTACACACTCTAGTTCACATTTTTATTCCTTTTGAGCTTGATTATTGTAGTTTATTATCTGGATGTCTCTTAAAAGATCTTCAGCTGATCTAAAATGTTGCTGCCAGAGCTCTGATGAAAGATGGGCACCTGTTGTTTCTAAAAAGATCCTCTTAAACGTAACATCGTTTTTAGAAAGGTTTCCATCCACATGAAAATACAAAAAGCAGGACCCAAAATGCTGTAGTAACTGTTCCAGGCCTGGATGCTGTAACGCTGCCATGAAAATAAAAACGGTGAAGAAGATGTGGAGCATGAGCATAAAGCTTACACCTCGGGATGGAATCAAAGACGTCACACATCATGAAGACTTTGGAGAGGCTGGTCCTGACCCATGTTGGACCGCTCTCTGTCTGCTGCAGGATGTCCACTCTGCCCTGGACAATGGTGGAGGTTGTTAGAACCATGTCCTCGGTTCCATCCAACCTTCTTTACTGACAGAGAAGCTGGGTGGGTGTCGGTACGTCTACTGTCTCGTGGCTGCCGATTGTCTTTGAGGCAGGCCTCGGTTTATGCGTCTGTGGAGGAGCTTGTCTGATGTCCTCCCCCTGCAGGGGACGGTCTTGTCTCTGTTCCTGGACACCTCAGACTTTCAGTAAAACTCAGAGTCACACTACCTACAGAAGTATTCTGATGACTCGGTGTTGGTGCGGTGTATTAAAGGTGGACAAGAACAGGAGTACAGGGAACTGGTCTCTCAGGTACCATCTAAACCTGAACATGGACAAGACAAAAGCCATGGTGGTTGATTTCAGAAGGACAAAAACACAACCAGAGCCATCAACACCTTGGCTAAATAAAGTTGAGGCTGTGGACAGATACAAGTTGGACTGGAGCACCATCATCAACACAGTGTACAAGACGGGGATGTGATGTTGTGGTTCCTAGAGTCTCTAAATGTAGAAGAGGAGGCAGATCTTTCAGTTATCAGGCTCCTCTCTTATGGAACCAACTTCCAGTTTCTGTCCATGAGGCTGACACATTGTCCAGTTTTAAGACGGGACTTAAGACTTTCCTTGTTGATAAATCCTATAGTTAGGGATAGATTGGGTTTCCTTAGTTATCCCTTAGTTCAGCTTTTATAGGCTTAGACTGCTGGAGGACAAACTGACCACATTTCCTCACATAGATGCCGTCTTTACTCACTCTAGGTGTTTATAAATACAATTATTGCTGTCATCTGTGTGTTCTTGTGTCCCCATAGAAACCACATCTGGACCAGTCCTGTGTTTGTGTCTGTTTCCTGTTCTTTCAAACCCCAGACAGCTGAGGCAGATGGACGCTGGTCCTGATCCAGCTAGAGGCTTCTTCCTGTTAAAAGGAAGTCGTTTCTTTCCACTGTCACCAACACTTGCGGAGAATGCGAAACGAGTTGAGGACTCAGAAAGAGTTGTTGTGGTCAGCTTCTGCATTTGTCTCCAAGTTGTAGTAACCTCCCTGACTCTGAGGTTCTACAACCATCTGCATTCACTTCTGTTGGACTCCTCAGGAAGTCTGCGTCCCCTCTCAGTAGCTGCTCTCGTGTCCAGTCAGGATGTACAGGTTGCTCAGGGCTGAGGGATCACCAGTTGGCGTACTTTGAAGAATGATGTCTCTGTTAGAACAGGAAACACGAGAGGTAAAGTCCTTCTGTCCATTCAAGGTGCACCTCAAAACTGCCTTTTCTGCTCTAAATGTTATTACTACCAGTACTGTTAGAAATTAATTACAAATCTTTAAGGCATTCCAAGAAAAGAAAATACAAGCGGTACACCAATGTCCCCATTCTCTGAGAGATTTGAATAGTGAATGTTTGTAGTTTTTGAAATTTGAGTGTTTTTCTGAACTGGAAATGAACAGGAAATGGAAGTAAACCTTAAAGTGCCGGCAACATTTTTGTAATAAATCCGAATGCATTTTTTAAAAGATAACAATGACACTTTGCACACACAAAAAAAAAAAGTCACTGAAATAATAGTGGAGATTTTCACACGCTCAATAACAGGAAGTGATGTCAGTAACAGGAAACGGGAACAGGCATGTGAACAACATTGCTACAAAGGTTAACATAGAGCAGAGAAGAATCTGATGATTCTTTAGATTATTTTGAGTCATTATGAGAGATGCAGAAAAGTCAGTTCAAATATGTTTGTATCAATAAATTAAGAACAGGAAATTGCCTTTGATGTCACTTCCTGTTTTACTTTGAATGCACCAAGTTCAAAATAAAGTACGCCAGTTATATAAAAAAATGGGTAAAATCATGTAATACATTTCTTAATAATTTTATTCAAATGTTTGTAGCTGTGAGAAACACATTACAGGCAGTTTAATGTTTTTGGCACAAGACAAAGTGGGTAGGTGGTACACAGTGGAGAAAACAGAGGGAGGGTTTTGTTTCTTGTCCGAGGCAGCGCAGAGGGACAGATGCTGGAGAGTCGAGGGAACAAGTTTATTCACTGCCAGGTGCAACGAAGGAGACAGGGGGTGGCCAATGGTGACCTTGGCCACCATAGATTAATCTTTGGCTACCCCAGTAACTTTCAAAACCTATCTAACTTGTTCCTGGGAGCTCTACAGTATAAATGATTATGGGAACAACTTCCTGTCAGACAGGAAGTAGCAGTAAGCATTGGTTAAACATGGTATCATAGCACGGACCGCAGTTTATTTGAAAGTAATCTGCATTCAGTTTAGCAGATAAAACTGTTTCTGTTTTGTTCACATTTATTTAACAACCATAAAGTTTATTAAAATAGTTCACGGCTGCAGAACAACCAGACCAAACTAAATCAGTGGCTACAACAACAGAGTTTTGAACACAGAGCCAAAACAAAAAGAGTTCCTATGAAAAGAGGTATAGTTTCCATCTCCAACCTAAAGATGAGGAATTAAGAAGAATGTGTCTGAAAAATGTGAACTTGAAGAGACCACCCAAAACACTGTCTGTGAGCTCATTTCACTTTGTTGACAAATGGCCGACGGAGGAAAACCTGCATCCTACTTTCTGTGTGGACGACAATAAACCACCGGAGAAGAGACGCCGGATCCTCAGAAGGATTGAAAACAGTGACGAGAACATCAGGGATGATTTCAAGTGTATGGAGGTCACAGCTTTATAGTATTTGTTTGTCTTCACTTTTTTGATTTTCTCTGTAATTAACCCAAGCTCAGTGATGGAGGAATTTAAGGCTTTGGCTGGACTCTGTGTTTGCTTTAAGGTCAATTAGATTGTGTCCCACCTCTTTTAACAAAACACCACCGACCTTATTACTGTGTAGATACTGATACACCTCAGAGCTGTTCAGGTTGTTCATCACTTCACCGTCAGAAGAACAGTCAGTGAAGTAGCTAAATATGCTAGTAGAAGTAGCTAAATATGCTAGTAGAAGTAGCTAAATATGCTAGTAGATGTGTCTTCCTGTTAAAAGGAAGTTGTTTGTTTCCACTGTCACCAACACTTGCTGAGAATGGGAAACGAGTTGAGGACTCATATCCAGTATATATATATATATATATATATATATATATATATATATATATATAT